CGATTTTAATGCCAAGGTGGGCAAGGAGGGGATCTTTGGCGCCACTGTCGGAAAATTCAGCCTCCACGACGAAACGTCCGATAACGGACTGAGGCTGATCGACTTCGCCGGGGCCCGAAATATGGTAATATGTAGTACTAGGTTCCAGCATAAGAACATCCACCAAGCTACATGGCTGTCTCCAAATCGAAAAACGAGAAACCAAATCGATCATGTTGTGATAGACGGAAGGCATGCTTCAAGCGTTTTGGACGTACACTCCGAGGGCCAAACATCGACTCGGACCACTATCTTGTTGTAGCCAAGATACGCTCCCGCCTCTGTGCAGCAAAAAATGTGCGCCCAACAATGCAAAGAAAGCTTAACGTCGAAAAGCTGCAATCACAACAGACGGCCAATTTATTCGCCACTCGACTCACACACCTGCTCTCTGAGAGCACTCTTCAACAATCCGACGTACGCGAGCAGTGGAACCACATTTCCCGATCATTAAGTACCGCCGCCGAAGAAGTAGTTGGATTTCAGCGAGCCCGAAAGAACAACTGGTACGATGAGCAATGTCAAGAAGCCGCAGAGAAAAAAGATGCCGCCTACAGGGCCACGCTGCGATCGGGCGCAACGCGAGCCATGTGGGACCGTTATAGGGAACTGAAGAAGGAAGCGAGACGTATTTGCCGCAATAAGAAGAGAGAGGCCGAAATACGTGAGTGCGAAGAGCTTGAGATGCTGGCCGACAGGAAGAACGCCCGAAAATTCTACCAGAGGGTTAGGCGACTTACGGAAGGTTTCAAGACCGGGGCGAACTCCTGTAAGAACAACAATGCCGACCTAGTGATTGTGGAGGGAACACTTTTATAACCTACTGAATGGTAGCAGCGCTGAAAGTAGTGAGGAAGACGAACCCGAGTCCCCAGTCGATGATGATGGAGTAGCTGTCCCACCGCCTGACTATGACGAGGTACGAATAGCGATTACGCGGCTGAAAAACAACAAAGCTGCTGGAGCTGACGGCCTGCCAGCCGAGCTATTCAAGTACGGCGGCGAGGAGCTGATGAGGTGCATGCATCAGCTCGTATGCAGAATATGGTCAGATGAACGCATGCCCGACGACTGGAATTTAAGTGTGCTCTGCCCAATCCACAAGAAAGGCGACCCCGCCATACGCGCCAACTACCGCGGAATTAGCCTTCTAAGCATAGGTTACAAGGTCTTATCGAGCGTATTGTGCGAAAGACTGAAGCCCACCGTCAACGAGCTGATTGGACCTTATCAGTGTGGCTTTAGGCCTGGAAAATCCACCATAGATCAGGTATTCACAATTCGCCAAATCTTGGAAAAGACCCGCGAGAATAGGATCGACACACACCATCTATTTGTCGATTTCAAAGCCGCTTTCGACAGCACGAAGAGAAGTTGCCTTTATGCCGCGATGTCTGAATTTGGTATCCCCGCGAAACTAATACGGCTGTGTAAGATTGACATTGAGCAATACCACCAGCTCCGTCAGAATAGGGAAGGACCTCTCCGAGCCGTTTGATACCAAACGAGGTTTCAGACAAGGGGACTCCCTTTCGTGTGATTTCTTTAATCTTATGTTGGAGAAGATAATAAGAGCCGCAGAACTGAACCGCTCAAGCACAATACTTTATAAGAGCGTACAATTGCTGGCGTATGCCGACGACATCGATATTATCGGTAAAAACAAGGGCTACGTCTGTTCTACCTTCTCGGGATTGGATAGAGAAGCAAAGCGAATGGGTCTGGTGGTGAACGAAGACAAAACGAAGTATCTCCTGTCAGCACACAAACAGTCAGAGCATACGCGTCTTGGCACCCACGTCACTGTTGACAGTTAGAAGTTTGAAAAAGTAGACGACTTCGTTTATTTGGGAACCAGCATTAACACCAATAATAATGTCAGCCTTGAAATCCAACGGAGAATCACTCTTGCCAACAAGTGCTACTTTGGGCTGAGTAGGCAATTGAGAAGTAAAGTCCTCTCTCGTCGTACAAAGATCACACTCTATAAGTCACTCATCATGCCTGTGCTGGTGTATGGCGCGGAAGCATGGACAATGAAAGCATCTGATGAGGCGGCTCTTGGAGTTTTCGAGAGAAAGATTCTGCGAAAGATTTACGGACCTTTACGCGTTGGTGATGGCGAATATCGCAGACGATTTAACGATGAGCTGTATGAGCTTTACAACGATATAGACATAGTGCAGCGAATTAAAATTCAGCGGCTCCGCTGGCTTGGCCATGTCGTTCGGATGGACAGAAACGCTCCTGCTCTGAAAATATTCAACGCGGGCCGCGATGCTGGTAACAGAGGAAGAGGAAGGCCTCCTCTGCGTTGGAAAGACCAGGTGGAGAAGGACTTGGCTTCACTTGGCATTTTCAATTGGCGTCAGTTACCACAGAAGAGAAATGACTGGCGTGCTGTTTTGGACTCGGCCAAAATCGCTTAGGCGGTTACAGCGCCAAATAAGAAGAAGAAGAATGGATGAATATCTACGGGGCGTGATACCAACAAGTAGGCTCTCCCTAGCGCAGCATGCCTATACGAAAGGCAAATCCACGGAAACCGCCTTGCACTCGCTCGTCGGGTTGGTGGAAAAAAGTTTATTAGATAAAGAGTATACTCTGGTTTCCTTTGTAGATATAGAAGGTGCCTTCAACAATATTAACGCCAGCGCCATAACGGGTGCCTTAAAAGAGCTTGGAGTTGACCAGAATGTGGCGGTGCTGATCGAGTCTATACTTGTCAGCAGGACGATAACCGCCAAGCTTGGCAACACCACAATAAGCAGAAAGGTCTGTAGAGGCACTCCTCAGGGAAGGGTTCTCTCCCCTCTTCTCTGGTATTTGGCGGTGAACTCTCTGCTGGAGGCACTAGAGAGAGGGGGTTGCCATGTCACAGCATATGCTGACGACCTGGCAATTGCCGTCAAGGGCAAATACCCTAATGGAGATTCTGCTCGCTAACATGGCCACGCTTAGGAACTGGGCAGAGAGTAGGGGACTCGGAGTAAACCCCGAGAAAACCGAAGCAATTCTCTTCACAAGGAAACACAGGCTTCCCATAGTCTCCCCGCTAATCTTTATGGGTGTGGAGATATCCTTGAAGGAGAATGTTAAGTATCTAGGACTCATATTAGACAGGAAACTAACGTGGAAACCTAATATAGAGGAAAGAGTAAGGAAGGCCAACGTTGCATTATACACATGCAAAAAAGCGGCCGGAATCAAGTGGGGGTTAACACCTCGTATTACACATTGGCTATACACCTCGGTGGTCAGGCCAATACTATTATATGGAATACTTGTATGGTGGCCAGCAACTCAAAAGGCAAGTTACCTAAAACTATTGAGTAAGGTCCAAAGAACAGCGTTTCTATGCATTTGAGGTGCCTTAAGGACCACCCCAAATAAGGCGCTGGAGGTGATTACCAATTTTCCCGCAATAAACCTGGTGGGGAAAATACGCGGCCGCCGATTCAGCGCTCAAACTAAAAAGTATGGTGCTATGGAAGGATCGGCGGTTTGGTCACGCTTCCATACTTCACATTCTGGGTAGTTACAACCAAGAAGTTGACTACTCCGCTCCCAAGCCAATCTTCGATAGGCTCTTTAAGACGAGCATCCCGTCAAGAAGAGAATGGCAAACACCAAGACCATGGAGACGGGGGGAATTGAATTTTTACACAGATGGATCCAAGCTAGACAATAGGGTTGGCTACGGAGTTTTCTCTAAGGAACTAGGACTGGAACTATCCGTCCGAATTCCGGACCACTGCAGTGTATATCAGGCAGAAGTTTTAGCTATAAAGGAGGTGGCTGTGTACCTTACTACACATGCCGTAACGAAGACTACGATTAATATTTTCTCGGATAGCCAGGCGGCCATTAAATCAATGAACATGGTAAAGCTGAGGTCGCAGGTTGCGCAGGAATGCCTCGCAGCTCTAAACGATATTAGCACCATGTTCAAGGTCAGCCTCATATGGGTTCCGGGACACAGAGATATTGAAGGAAACTGCAGGGCCGATGAGCTAGCCAGGAAAGGTACGAATCTACCCCTATGTGAAAACAGGGGCACTATTGGGATACCCATGGCAACCTGCAAATTAGAACTTCGAAATAGCATGATCCAAGAGGCCAACAGGTCATGGCTAGAGGAGGGCACATGTAGAACAACCAGGCTGCTTTGGCCGCAATAGAAAAGAAAAAGACGAAAGAGTTGCTGTGCCTCTCAAGAGAGGACATTGCGAAGGTCACGGCTTGTGTAACCGGTCATTGGCTATTTGGCAGGCACTCTTCAAGACTTGGAATTTTCTCCCATGAATATTGCAGAAGTTGCAGAGATGAGGAAGAGGAAGAAACCGTAGAGCACTTCTTCTGTAGTTGCCCAGCTTTGTCCAAGAGGAGAGCAAGCTTTTTAGGCAGGCCCTTCTTTAGCTATTACGGGATGGTCACGCGTAGGAATAAAACCGATTCTACGCTTTATAAGAGCCTCAAATTGGTTCTCTGAAGAATAGTCACCGAGGTTCCCGTGTCCTGCAGTGGTACCACAATGGACCTTCAAAAGGTCTAAGTGAGTTGGTAAATATGAGCCGACTGCCACATCAACCTAACCTAACCTTCTACAAGCATTTGTAGATACATTTCGATTTGCACTTTAATATACAAATTTCGAATAGCCTTGATTTAGTTATTTACAAGCTAGAGCTCTTTTTAAAAATCGACTATCCGGATACTCGCTTAGTCCACTAGTCGATTAGCAACATTTTTGCCGGTTGATAGTCGAATAGAAATTACTCAATTAACCGCTCGCACTCGACTAACCGTTCATTCTTGTCTAACCGCTCAGTATCGAGTAGTCTGAAAATCGACTAACCGAAATTATTCGAATAGTGACAGTTTTTCACCATAAAACTATTTGTATTAGCGCGGTTGGGGTTTGTCAATAAGCATAAGTATACAAAAAAAAAAAGTTTTACTCAAAGAAAACTGCTAGTCGATAAATCGAAAATCAGCGGATTTTCGACTAGGTGTTTGTGAGCGGTTAGTTGAAAAAGTCGAAAAGAAACGGTTAGTCGATTAAGTTAAGTCGACTATTTTTTGAAATAACTTTCGACTAATCGATTAACAAGTAGGTACTCGATATCGAACCAAAGGTACCGATATAGTAAAATATTATTATATATCGCTGTAAAAATATCGGGTACCCATTATTATCGGGATCAAAAAAATAAATCTGAATATTGGGCTCTGTAAAGCCAAAAATATAACCATATTGCTTTACATATCAATTCCAAACTGTAGATATATGGGATGTTCCTGCGGTAAGTTATAGTACGACATAGATTTGCAATAAATTGAACCGCTAGGGTGTGCTTAAATCAAAATAAAATTATTATATTTGCGTTAAAAATTAATTTAGAAACAATATTAACAAAAATTTTCAATGGAGATTTTAGTAGCGTAATGTCCTGTAACGTGACGTCAGACACGTCTTTGCGATTCGATACGATACAATGGTTCTGGTACTCAACTCCAAATAATATCGTTTGATAACTATTGATTAAAAAGTATCGGTATCGAATGGAAAAAATATCGATATAATATCGTATCGAAATTCGTGTCCCTATTATAAATAAGGAAATTCTAAGAAACCGCAGCATCGAATTGTTTTATTCACGATTACTGCGCCTATATCTTCAGGCACAGTTTTACACTTGTTCTCGGTTCAGTCTGAACCTTTCCACAAATTCTGCGTCTCTCAG